CGTTTTCAGTGTAAAAAAAATTTTCGTTTTCGAAAACGCGTTTTCCCCGTTTTGGAAAATCGAAAACAGAAAATGGCCCGAAAACGGCACCCTATGTTTTGTATAGTGATTTTTAGGAGAATGTGTGGTTAAAATGTAAGGGAAAATTTTGGGTTTACGTACATAATATTTTATTTTGTGAATGTACGATTAAAAATGATTATGTAAAAAAAGAGTTTTCAAATAATAGTTGTCAAACATGGGCGAAGTCACGAGCAAATCGCATACTTTTTAATGCTAAATTGACGATTTCATCACATGAGAATCCATATACTAGAATTTAAAATAGATTGAAAACACATAATCACACCACGTAAAAATTTTGGGAGCTCAATCCTAAATTTCTACTTAAGAAGTCTATTTTTTTAATTATACTATTCAGTCTTATTTAATACTGCATATCAAAATCGACCAAATCTTTTGTGAATTGTCCAGATATTTCTAGGGTAGGGGACCACCCTAAAAAGTCTATATAATGGTCCCTTACAATGGAGTAGTTGTGGTCTCCCAGTCAGTAGGATTTTATGTTCATCCAACAACAATTAATGTTGTCCATAACTTGGTTGCCACTCAATTATTTGTTTAATTATTCAAGAGTCTTTTTTTGTTCCATGGCTTTTCCCAAGGCTATAGAAGACAAAAAAAAGGTTGCTATATATGTCACACTCAATTTTGTATCAGGGTCAGGGATGTACATTGAGGTGACTTTGCAGTGAAATTGTAGCAATCAATTATCCAAAATTAAAATTATTAACGAGTTTAGGTCGGTTCTATTATCGACCAATAATTAATACATAAAACTAAAAGGCAAATGCATTATCAATTCCTTAACGTGTACGTATTTTTTTGGATAATGCATTGATTATTCATTCATCTTGTAAAGATATATCATATATCTAATTTAATTTGTGTAAATTAAGAGTGATGAAAATAAAAATAAAATAAATAATACTTTAATTTTAAATAATTTAATTTTTTTGATTAAGTAGTTCAACACGATGCAATGATTTCGAGTTTGAATTTTGACGTCGTTTATTTATGGAAATTGTGTACGTGTCATACTTTGTTAAACAAATTTGTACCTAAGGCGAGTAAAATAGAAAATTTAAATAAATAACGAATTATCTATTAAATAATTTAACCATTAGTATGAGGTAGTACAAATTTCTAACTTCATATATATAACCTCTTGTAAATTTCCGTTGAAATTACGCAAATGTGAATCACATTGTGCTTAGAAATTGTAATCTTTGACTTCAGGCAAAATGAGTAATAAGTGTGTGTGTGTGTATATATATATATTCGTTACAAAGAAAGGAGCCAAAGGGAAAAGCTTAGCAGAAGCCATTGGATACATAATGCATATTTCTTACAAACTTTGGAAATGTTTTAGATGCAAAACACCCATTCCATACATGAATTCATACACCTTTGCTTGAATTTTGAAGAAGCAGAAGGATTTAAATTCAGGTGATGTTGTATAATTTAATTTGTGTATTTATAATCATATGATATTCGACTAATTGTATAGACGACGGGATATCAATGAACCATATGTTCTGATGTTTTGATATAAATTTCACATTTTGACATTAAATATTTCATATTTGTTTTGATTCGAATTGTTACTATATTTTTAATTCTATTCAATTACTTGGTCATTAATTGATTAAGCCCTTGTTTGGGTTCTATTTTAAAGAGTATTTGGAAAAATGTATTTTAAAATAGTAATTTTTTTTTTTTTTTGAGAATGTATAGTTAAAAAGTAAGAACTTTTTTTCGATTTACATGTAATATTATTTTACGGGAGAATGTGTAGTTGAAAATGAGTTTTTGAAAAAATAGGGGTAGACATATGTTGAATTTGTGATTTCTATAGACATTTAGGAGAAGGAAAAGAAACTTCAGCAAGTGGTAACAATCATTGTAAAGTCCGATAAAGAATATGGATATATTGCTACACTTGTCATGATCTCGTTAAACGTTCACTTGCGGAACTATAGCGTAACACATTACATTTAACATATCATTGTATGTTGTTTAACTTGTTTTAAAAATATTGTTTCGCGCGAGCAGTCGCTAACAATTAAAAAGAAATTCAGACGATTGTGTAAGAGACAAATCTCTTGAAACAAAGTCCCAAAAATGGGTGTTTTATTTATGAGAGTTACACTTAGAACTAAACAGAATGTCTCTAAGGGGCGCAAGCACACGAGTACTGAAAGAATACTAATTAAAGTTAATCTAAGAAATAAAAATTATATATTCTATATTCGAGAGTGTTTGATTCGGGATCCTTTCCTCTATATCCATTTTTTCCTTTTATACTCCAATGACGATTTCTGCGTGACAAATCGTTTGGAAACTGCTACTCATTTTCTTCATGGTGCCTAATTTGTCGTGGAACTGTCATCTCTAACTGTTGCCATTACTTTTCGTTGTTTAACTTCTTTCAAAGAGGTTTCTTAACTCGTGGAATATGATAATTAGCTCGATAACTGTCTCAATAACTGCTATTTTGGATGACCACAATATCTCACATATTAGGATTCTGGATGACTCGAATGCTTGAGCGAAAACGAGGCTGTCACGCTGAGTGACAGTGAGGCACTCCATTCGTCCAAATTCTGTGCGTTGTGCGGGCTGCACGATAATGTTACTGTGTTCGCGGGCTTCTTCTACACTTACCAACAACCTCATTTGGGTCTTGGTCCTGGGCCTCCAATTGGACTTCACTCTTTGGGCTATCTAATTTGGGCTGTATTTTTAGTGTGTCAACACATATTAATTTTGAAATTCAAATATTTATTTTAATTTTAGACATATTAAATTGCTTCTTTAACTTCCTTGAGCTCTAGATAATTCGAGTCTTTATATAGACGATCATTTTGTTTTTTTAGGTGAAGTTGAATTTTACCGTCACGTCTCGTATAAAAAAAAAAAAACATTTTTTGTGATTTTTCTAGGTATAACCCCACTCTCCAATCTTTATACGATTAAGGAAAATTGGTACAAATGGTACATAACGTATGGCCCTTATCTTGATGCTGACCCCCTCAACTTACTGATCTGTGCAAAAAAGTCCTTTTCGATAGTTTTCATCCATTAATGCCATTAAAAGTAGGTGATTGTATTGACAACATAATTTTTATTTGTTATACCACATTTTAATTGCAATTAAACTTTTCAATATTAGCTTATTATAGCAATTTTTTTTTTGAATTTTTTATCTTCAACCTTTTATTAATTAGTACGTTTCTTCCTTAATAATAATGTATATCAAAATATTTATTTTTCATACTTTGAAATGAGTGAAAAATTATTTTTCATATTTTTATTTATTTTTAAAAAATACGATGGAAAAATAAGTTATTTTACATTATTTGGACCCGACTCCCTTCGATTCATCGGCACTTTGTGTAGAGGTGAGAAAGGGGATCCACACTCGAATAATCCTCCTCGTAGAATAATTTCGTCTTATTGAAATTACTGATCCAGGTTGTCTCACCTTGCGATCTGTTTAATTTCGACCCAATACTATAGCTCATTCATTTGCTGGAGTATTTTTATTTGATGATTTGATTTTTGCTAAGTCCGACGACTATCTAAGTGTTTTTAGGTTATTCAGGAGGAAGATGAATATAATTGCTGCGGCACTATGGACGGCGCTGCTCCTTGCGGCATATCAGTTCCCCTTGGGACTTGCTTTCCCATCCACGGTCCCCGCCATGCTATGGTCGCCTCATCTAGATCCGTATGCCTCCCTCCTATCGCTTTAAGAATTATATATTGTTTAGATGCTTCGCGCTAGAATGGAATTAAGCATGAGATACTTCACCCATTTGATTTATTAAGTCTTTAGCTATTGAAATTGGTCTGAATCTGGGCAAGAACGGACGACGATTTCTTGAGAACTGCCGTGTCTATTATGCCCTTCACTCGAATTTGTAAAAACACGTTTTGGGGGGAGTTTGTGTTGATAAATGTCTTATTGAGCTTATGTACTGTGCTTTATCGTCATACCCTTGAGTTAGAAGATTCTCGGAGGAGGAATCAACCCTCATAGAAATCATCAAATTATGAACAGTAAATCATGGACGCCGGTATCAGGTTTGTGAGAAATTAAAAATCTGTGCCTACCTAATGTTCCATCTTGTCATGCTCTTCCCTAGTGGGTGACTTGCAACTTTGATCTACGATTGGGTTTTGAGATCAAAATATCTAGCTCAAAGCTTGTAACTGTGAAGCAACTCTCTGATGCTTTATCCTGTTATTTTTTATGTGGAACATTTGACTTGGTGTTCGGAACTTGATGTTTTGACTTTTTATGCAAGCAGGTTATGTTATTTACTACAGAAAATAATCTAAATACTAATCCTTGACTATATACCTTACCATACCTATTTCACTGAAAGTAGTATCTATAACTATCTGCAGCTTTATGAAGTTAAATAAGTTGACATGGTCACTGTGACTTAGGTGTAGGATACTGGAGTTATACAGTAAGATATTAACAGAGGTCATGTACTCATTTTCCATAAATACTAACTACTACTCATAGCCCATCTTATTAATAATCGAATTAAAAATCAAAATACGTGCTTCCATGTATTTTTGAATCCCTCGAGCACAAGTTTTGGAAGGTCATTTATCTCATCCTTAAGAATGGATCATCATTAACTTGAAGCGGAGAAAATGGTTTAATTTACCCTAATCCTTTGATCATTTGATTTCATGCTAAGGAAAAAAAAAAGAATATAGAACACAGAAACGAGGTTCTTTGTTGGAGTAGGATAGTGGTGCCTGTTAATGAAGAAGATGGGTGTTGATTGTGAATGATTGCACAATGCACAAGAGAGAGGGTCATACGGAGAGCAAATTGGTTGGGTTTGAGAATCAGTCTTGGCAATTATAAGAAATTGTTTTAAAAGATAGTTGCAGGTTTAAATTTCTGAAAATAAGAGAGAAGAAGAACTAAGGAGATGAAGGAGAAATAATTTTAGAAGAGAAAATCATAACTTGATTCTGAACAATAATTTATTATCCTGAAATTATGGGATTGCGTGATTATCTATAGAGTCAGTAGGCTTCTTCAACTAGAATAAGGGATATACTTCATAAAATAACACTTATAATTTAGTTTTGTCAGACTGTCTTTGACAACTTAGCATACCAAATGTAAATCATGCATCACTGACTAACTTGGATGCATGGAACAGAACTATGTCCTTGTTACTGCAAATTGAATTTTACCAAAAATAGTCTTGACACTGAAAACTCTAGTGAAAAAATTTAAAAACAAACTGCACTAAACCTCATCTCGCCATGCACCTGTTACTATGCTTTGCATGCCTCCATATTTGAACTTGTAAATTTGAATATATAAGATTATTGCATGTGTTACAGATTATCTGGCAGAATGAAAGAAGTCGTTGATTACAGAATCCTATCTCCAGGAGACCTAGCCAACTCTGTGATGACTGAAGGGGGATGGTCGGACTTCCTGGTATTTCCCAGTCTCTTGCTTCAGCTTTTGACCACATTTTTACCTTTTTTTCATACTTTATTCTAACATCTACTTGTTTATTTACAAGCATAAGTAAATTAGAATGGAGAATATGAGATTGCTTCTATTCTTTGATCACCGTTGGTTCCACATTAATTCAATTAAAAGAAAAATCTTATATTGGTTTATTCTTTCTAGTGCATGAGAGAGGAAGCTCTGCCAGCTCTGGATCTTGCACTTATTTTTGTAGGAAAACAGGTAGGAACTCTTCTTTTCTCTTGTTGTTCTAGAAACCAAGTAATTGATATCTGCCTCATGCTCTCCAGATCCTAAAATAAAAATAAAAAATTACTTGAGAATCATGTCTTGTCCATTTGCGTACATTATCTATCTCCATGCAAGGAAGGTGACCAGGTTCTTAAATGCTCTTTGCATGAGCAATGTACCTTCAAGTTATATGTGGGGCCAATGTGTTTTCCAAATATCTAAAAACCCACACCAAGTGTGGTCCTATATTCCTTTACAAAACTATATTGTTTACTTGAGTGAGGGATAATGGAGAATCTTCTCTCTTGCACTGTGAGAAAGCTAAAGAAATACTTAACAATGAGGGTATAAGAGACAATTAAATTGGAGAAACGAGATTCACATTGCATAGAATACGAAAATATGTTTAACAAATTGTAATACAAAGTGCATAAGTTACACTCATCATCAGTCAAAAATTAAATTGAATTCCATTAATATTGTCATGGGGAATATGAGGAAAATTATGGTAAAATCGATTTTGATATGCCACCATATTTCTATTTTGCATTCTTAATGTATTTTCCAATATATGAGAACCATATTACATCATTGACTGTAAACTCTTTACATAACAATTATATTTGAACACCATACCAGAGCGAAAAGAAAAATTTAATTGCTACAGATGCAATGGAGAGTGTTGAAAGTGAAATGTAATGGCATTTGGTTACAAAAAACTTTGTATTTGTAAACTCAGATTAGGGGGGAAAAATTCGAAATTTGAATTCTAATTTCGAATTTGATAGCACCCTGTATGATGCAGGGTGCCATCATCTCTGCATGGCTCAAAAGCAACCATGCAAACTACTCTCCTAGGTCGGCTCTTGAGGCGAGGACGAGCTCGGTTCACGAGTCATTGGTGAGCAGCTCGCATGAGTAATTTGCTGCTCGGCTCATGCCCGTAGCTTGTGTCACTAGCTTGCCCCGCTAAACACCCTACAAGAAAATCCATAGTTTTACACTTTACTATTTAGTCTATTGAAGAGAGTTATTAACGTAGACAAAATTATAGTTCATATTTACGAAATTACATTCCTGGTATTAATGGGGTACATCTAGAGGTAGAGGTAATGACATAATAAAACCCTTGGTTTAATCTTGAAAATGCTAGATGATGGAGTAGATAAGAAGAAGAGGATACATGTAGCCAAGACATACATATTTATAGAATAAGGCTATGTTTTGAGCCGAGTTCGAATTAAATATCTTTGACAGCATTCTTTCTTCTGGTGATCAAAATACATTTTGTCATGTGCAGTTGCAGTCTCTGGATATATCTGGATCCAAAACTTCAGACCCAGCACTAGTGGACCTGCTCAAGGTAGCAATTTGGATAGTTTACTTCATATTTGGGATCTTTGGTTAGGGTCGAAGAATATCATGACGGTGCTACTTTTTTTTTACCAGTTAGAAGATATCATTTGAAACATCTCAATTGTTTTCTGTTTTTCTTCTATGGATAGGCTTCTTTTTCAAATTCCAGCTTCTCTGTGGCCTTCCCCTATGTATCTCCACCAGAGAAGAAAGTGGCAATGGAAAGCTCTTTGATTTCAGAATTTGCAGATGCTTGCCATCATAATTTACGGCTCAGTAATATTGCTTTTCTGGAGTCATGTTCTGTAGGGGGTGAAAATTTTGACAAAATTGCAGATGTTCATTCAGTACATGTAAATGTCAACAATGATGCCATTATTATTATTATTATTATTTTTTGCCTCGAAAATATTTGGTCTTATAGAATACCGCGTGTTTTATTACTTTGATAGGACTACCTGCTATCTACAATGGATAAGAAATCTGATAGGGGAACAAATCTGATTGTGATTTGCCATGGAGGTTCCCATTCTATGCTAGATTCTGATCAGCCTTATTCTGAGGGTATGTTAATATGACACCTTAGCCATGAGGGATCATAATCTTTTTTTCTAATATGGATGCTTTTCATGAACTAAACTGCTATTGGGGCCTGAGAGTAGTTTTGTCAAATATGCAGGCCAAATTCTCTCTGAACTTCTCAATTCTGTGGAGCAGATAGGTGCAAAATACACAGCTCTATATGTCTCTGATCCATTTAGGTCTATTCAGTACCCTTCACACCGGGAACTAGAAAGCTTTCTTGCTGAAAGTACTTTTGGAAATGGATCATCAAATTCAACAGTGTGTGATGGAGTTTGTCAGATTAAGTCCTCTCTTCTGGAGGGGATTCTAGTGGTAAGTCAAGCCTATCTTATATTAGAGAAATTGAGGCCTGAGAGTTGGATAATATGGTGCTATCTTCTTGTTTATTTATCTGTGTATTTATTATTATAATTACTATTACCATTATCATCATTATTGTTTTTGGGTGGGGGTGGGGGTGGGGGTGGGGTGGGGGCATGATGACATTAAAATTTCGCTCTCGTAACTTTTAACCCTTGCAGTATCTGTTCATATATTTTATCAGGCGATGCAGATATACTTTCATAATATGTTTATGATTCTCAAATCTAAGCTCATTGTAATGTTTCAGGGCATTGTTTTGCTAATAATTCTGATATCGGGCCTTTGCTGTATGATGGGAATCGATACTCCAACAAGGTTTGAGACCCCTCACGATTCTTAATCAATTATTGCTGAGAGAGATTTTTGTTTTCAGTGGTGGTTATTTGCACTTTAGTATTTGTAGTAGGTAGCCTTGTATTATTTATTTACTCGTAACACATGCAACATTCCAACTATGTACTTGTTTACAAGTAGTGTGATATTCGATAATAAAATTGGTATTTTGTGTTTTGCCGAATATGGTAGTATTGGATTCTGATATTCGATAATGGATGAATTTATTTGTTTCGGTCGATAGTCTCCCAGACATTTCATTGTTGTTGCAGTGAATAAAAAAATAATATTATTTATTTTCCATTCATTGTTTCCATTTCAATTTTGACGTTTACTTTAATTTGTAATTCATTCGAAAAATATTTCTGAGCCAACATCATCTCACAGGAAATTTTTTTCACTTATTACACCATTTTCTAACGCGTCAGGACGCAAAACCTTGTGTGCCCTTTTTGTGTGAGCTCTAGCAGTTTGTAATCCCTCAATAAGGTTGAAGGTAAGTGCACTCGTTAAGAATTCTAGGCTATGACGAGATTAAGATATGACTTAGCTTTTTGTTATTGAAACCACATTTTTTGTAATAAAATGACTCTCACTTTTAGTTGGACTCAACAACATTTGACTCACTCAGCTTCTCGATAAGTTTTCATGAGAACAAATTAGAATAAATAAGAGTTTTCCATTTCAATGGGAAAAATTCATAAATAAGAGTTTAACTATAATTCATTTCAAACTTAAGATAAAAGTTTAAAATTTCAAAAAATCAAATATTTATTAAAATTTATTTTTGAAGTAATTAATTAAAAATATATTTTATAAATTAAATATAATGTCACAATTTTATACAATTTGGTCATATTATCGAATTAATTAGTTACAAGTAATTTCACGATCACATTTAAAATTTTAATAGGCACAAACTATTTCACGGTCACAAATTTATCAAATTAATTGGTTACAAATTATGTTTAAATTACAAATGATCAAATTATTGGTCACAAATTAACAAATTTTTAGGTCAAACATTATTTATTGGTCACAATTTATGTAATACCCCAAACTTTACGTTACATATTTGGCCAAAGGGGGGGGGGGGGGGGGTGTGGAGATTAGAAAAGAATAATATTATTTATAGTCGACTACTGTAGTAATCGTCCTACGTGACATCTTATTATTTGATAGAAAATCTCAGAGAATCCGATTAAAATTGGACATTGTCTATAAATGATATTTTTGTTTTTGTTTTCTTGAATTAATTATATTATATTGTATAATAAATCTCTATTCCACTTTGAAGATTACTGGTTGAAGAATTATTGAATTAGAAATAAAAAAGTAAATGCAATATCAATTCCTTTACGTGCACGTTGATTTTTTAATTCTTGTTGTTTAAGTATAGGTGTTCTAGATAACCCTAAATCAATTTTTAATTTACGTTAAATCAGGTATGCAATAAATAAAAATTAAATAATAAATGTATAATTTTCAATGTTTAAATTTTTAAATGAATGTAAATAAGTATTCAGTTAGAGTCTCGTTATCACTCATTTCTTAAAATCTTGTACGCGTCAAACATAAATGAGAAAAACTAATCAACTTGCATATGAGGTGTGTGTTAAATACAAAATTTCAAAAAAATAAAAATAAAAATAAATAAATGTGTTCAAATTCTAACAACTTAACCTTTTAAATAGTGTAATTTATCAAGAATTATCCATTTTTATCGAGAATGACTTGGTGAGCCTATAAATACCTTCAAAAAAGGGTTTCAATTCTTTAACATGGTTCTTGCCATGTGAACGCTTGTCTAAGTTGTGCAGATCATAAATATCGTGTAACTATGGTATGACATTGCATTTATAAGGAGCATCAATCTAAATTGATACTACAACGAACGCGTGTTACGACTTTTCGAACAATTTCCACCATATTCAAATTTCTTGTATTGGTAGAAAATAGATTTGGAAATTCATCCTTTTGAAAGATTTGTACAAGTTGGTGTTCAAGTCAAACCATGCCTACTCACAACTTTATTTAGATTTTAATATATATATATATTAAAGCATGGTAAGTGACGTGAAACTTTCATCAACCCTTCAAAAATAATTATTAATTAATTGTTCTTTACATCAATAATTGTAGAGATTTTGTTCTTATAAAAGTATTCAAATTTGTTGAACCTCAGACTACTAAATCAAGAAGATTATTTAGGACCACGATGATAAATTTGTGCACGACTCTCTAATTATTATTATTATAATTAACAAAATTTAGAGAAATGGCCCAAATAATAATAATAATTAATTATTGGTTGGTACACCTTCACCAGGCCGCATTAGTTGGTTTTTCTTTGTACCTAATACAATGACAACATTATTTACGAAAGACCATTCAACTTTAATTTGTGTGGACTAGTCTTCTTTTAACTAGACTGCTCGACTTAAATTTGTCGCAATTGTAGTACTGAGCTTCAATCTACTTTTAGTATTAGTTATTTATTATTAATGGTACAAGAATGTCTCAATTGTTCTATCTTCGAGTAAATACTATACTATCGTGCTATGGCCGCAAAACATTTATAATTAGGAATGAAGCTCCGAGCGTGGTTTGACATATTAATTACATTTTTGGGTCAATGAACTCATAATAACTTTTGACTTTATTCGAGGTAAGGATAATGAACTTTTGAATAAATTTCGACTTTATTCACCGAAATCCCTCCCACACAGGCCCTTAGGAATGAAGCTCCGAGCGTGGTTTGACATATTAATTACATTTTTGGGTCAATGAACTCATAATAACTTTTGACTTTATTCGAGGTAAGGATAATGAACTTTTGAATAAATTTCGACTTTATTCACCGTAGGCAGATAGATACATTAGGTGAGTTCAATAACTTTCAACTTTACTTAAAGTAAACATATACATTAAGTCAACGTATTTAATACTTTTTATAACTATCTTGTTTGAATAACATTCAATTTTACTAAATTAAAAGGACCTTCAAAATTATAACTCAACTTCATAACATCAAAATCAAAGTACTATTCTTATTATAATGTATAAGAGAGAGATCCAAATCCATTAATCACCTAATTGACCGTTCAATTTCGGAGCACACGTATACAGCTCAAATCTCTCTTTCTCACACACAGAGCACACGTTTCCACGTTCGATCTCTCTCTCTCTCTCTCTCCCCGAAAAAGCCAATTGGAATAATCTGTTAAATCGCCCAAGAAATAAACTAACTTTCAAGAGCAGAACCCAATCACCCATATCTCACTTTCCTCAAAACAAAAATAAAATAAAAAACTATCTTTTCACCGTCAGAAGCAAAATATTATGTAGTGTTTAATAGTTTATGCTCGGACTCGAGGTTCCACAAAACAGTTTAATGTTGTTGAACTACTGAATGTATAGTTTAGGTAATGTCCCAATAAACAATCATTTTTCTTAATTTCTTTATGTTGTGTGTCAATATTTATATGTTTTCTTGAAAGTTGTTAACTGGCGAGGGTGGTTTACAAGGTCATAGTTGAAATTCTTGAATTTGCAGTGGAAATGGGTTTTTTGGGGTGCTGAGAGAATTTACAATGGATCTTGAAACTGGGAACCATCAGAATCTTGTTAAGGTGAGTTAATACGTGTGTTATTTTCTTGATTAATAAGTTTAATTTTTGTGTTTTTGATTTGATTTTTCTACTGGGATTTGCAGAAAGAATCTTGGAGAACTGTATTGACATTGGCTTATCAGAGTTTGGGTGTTGTCTACGGGGATTTGAGTATATCTCCATTGTATGTGTACAAAAGTACTTTTGCTGAAGATATTGAACATTCAGAGACGAATGAAGAAATCTTCGGGGTTCTTTCTTTCGTGTTTTGGACATTAACTTTAATTCCTCTTTTGAAGTATGTGTTCATTGTGCTTAAGGCCGATGATAATGGTGAAGGAGGAACATTTGCACTGTATTCACTTTTATGTAGACATGCTAGAGTGAATTCATTGCCTAGTTGCCAGTTGGTGGACGAGGATTTGTCAACTTACAAGAAGGATATTATTAGTCCTGCACCATCAACTTTTGGGGCAAGGCTAAAATCTTCTTTGGAAAAGCATAGAGTGTTGCAAAGATTTTTGCTTGTGTTGTCTCTGATTGGTGCTTGTATGGTGATTGGTGATGGTGTATTAACTCCTGCGCTTTCAGGTATGGAAATTATTTCTTGTGGATTTTTACCAATTTTGGACAATTATTTGACTTGAGTTTGATTCATCTTTGTGGCTTTTTGTGCAGTTTTTTCAGCGGTTTCTGGTGTCGAACTTGCTATGTCAAGAGAGCATCACAAATGTAAGATTTTAAATTTTTTCCCATTTGGTTGTTCTAACGTGTAGTGACTTTCAAGTACACGGCTATATAAATTGTGTCTATTCGTGATTCCATGTAAAAATGTTTGTGGCTTGTTTTGCTGTTTCATTTGAAGGATTCAATCATGGATTCTGTGGAATATCAAGAGTATGTTGTAATTCCTTCAGTACTGTTGGATATCGCGGACCTTTTTGAGAACATTTTGTTTTTATCAACTAATGCTTATTGGAGCCAAAAGGAACAAAAAATGGATTCTCCAAAAGCTTTGATTAATTATGTGATCAAATACTATTATTGTCTTTCATTGTTTCAGAGACAGCTTAATTAATATGTCAAAGTCATACACTGCAAATCTAACTCGAGTAGAGGTGGTAGTTAGTATTTCACCTTATGCTAAAAGGCAGTGGGAATATATGCACACGAGAAGAAAAGGCAGCACGTGAACATCCTCCTGCTTGACATAACACATCCTTGCATTGTTCACCAGCTGACTCCTATTTCTTCAGCTTATCTGCTGTAAATAGTCTAATACCACAAGCCAACCAAATAATGAAAGAAAATCTAGTTTTTTTTTTTTTTTTCAGGACCAACTCAGATAGTGTAATTAATCACTGTAGGTTATTTCCTAAAGAGAGTTCAAACGCACTATATTACATTGCTTATTGACTTCACCTGTTGGTTTTCTCCCACTATTCCACTTCTAATAGCAATTACCAATAACAGAATTCTAATTGGATGGATATTAGAAGCAAATATTGTGATTATCCTCCAATACTAGGTCCACCGGGATGCCAGTTGTCTTGCCTTCAGCACTTGATTTAGGCTTTTCTAGTATAGAGAACCCAATATTAACTCCAGTTAACGTGGTTTAATTTTTTGCAACTGTCATGATTGATGTCATACTTCTTAGTTGAACAAGAGACACCACTCCTAAGGAAAGTTTTGATTTACAACTAAGGCCATACGTAATATTAAATGAAGCTTCTTGATGTAAATTGATTTAATCAACATTATGGATATGTCGGTGAGACATTGACACTACTTTGTTTGGCTAGAGTTTACTTTTTCTCTCCAACTTTTTATTGTCATTTCATTTGTGCTTATAGTGTGAAGTTAAGTGAAATGTACTACTGCATCCTAAAATGCAATAATCTTGCAGATGTAGAAGTCCCGGTTGCTTGTATCATACTGATTGCCTTGTTTGCCCTGCAACATTATGGTACCCACAGGATTGGATTCTTGTTCGCACCTGTGGTCATAATGTGGCTTTTGTGCATCAGTTTGATTGGCCTATATAATATATTTCACTGGAACCCTCATGTCTATCAAGCTCTATCTCCGTACTATATGTACAAATTTCTAAAGAAAACACAAAGAGGAGGTTGGATGTCCTTGGGCGGGATCCTGTTGTGTATAACAGGCAAGTATAAGCATATCTTGTTGTGGATTTCAGATCATTTACTAACACGAACAATCTCCTCTTTCCGTCTTTTGCAAGATTATCTAACTCGTGGTTTAATTCCTAGCAGGTTCAGAAGCAATGTTTGCTGATCTAGGACACTTCTCCCAGTTGTCAATAAAGGTATTATACCATTCTACCAATATGTTATCTACAATCAGGCATATTGCTTAACTTGGAAAGGTTTCTAATCTAATTTGAGCTACGCGTGGTTTTTATATTATGTTTTGTGTAATATAGTTAATACTAATATCAGCACTAGCCATCAATGATCTTTTTAGCCAGTGTCTTTCACTGCATGCAGTATGTGAATATGGTTGTAGTGTTGTTAGTTGCACTGTTGATATTCAGTATTTTAGATATGTTTTTCATGGGAGAAATGAAATACAAGTGGAATAGTAATATGATGTAGAATGAGACAGCTTGTTACTCAAAAATAGAGAACAAGGTATTAGGAGAATCTATATGGTAGAGAAAACAAGAAGGTCCAGATGCTGATTAAGACAAAAAGAAAATGCTACATAAACTCGTCAAAAATGTAAAAACGCTGAGGCTTTTGATAAGTGTGAGTAAACTATGAGAAGCCAAGAGGGTAATTCAGGAGTTCCATGCACAGAAGCATTGATAAAAATTTTGAAAGGGAAGAATTCTAATTGCCTAAATCACTTTCTCAGATGAAAGTGTTTGGAAAACCACCAGATATTCTAGTGGTGAGTTGATTTCATATATATATATATATATATATATATATATATATATAAATATTTAAATAATAGTATATTGTATGATTAATATATATATATATATATATCCATATTTACATAATCGTATATGGTATGATTACAATGGAATAGAAAGGATACAATTGAATGGAAAGAATCAAGCAAACAAAGTGGAAGCTGCAATTATAGGTCAAATGACAATGCAAATGGAAAGTCTTGAATTAAAGTCGAGGATTGTTAGCATGATCCTCGGCACCCCCCTCAAGCTGAGCGTCAGATTTGAGCGTACGTGAAGCTTGGATTGGAAGAGTTCAAATAGAGGTTTGGACACACTTTTGGTAAAGATGTCAGCAACTTGCAAATGAGAGGGCACATACGGAGTGCGGAGCTTGCCAGCTAAAACAAGTTCACGAAGAAAGTGGTAGTCAAGTTCAACATGCTTGGCCTGTTTGTGAGAAACTGGATTGAAGCTCAAGAAGATGGCACTCTTGTTGTCACATAGGAGAAGGGGACAACCGTGGAATTGAAAATTTGAGGTTATTGAGAAAATGCGTGTGCCAAAGGAGTTTGGCGACAATGAGAGCCAAAACATGATACTCAAATTCATAACTGGAGCGAGAAACAGTAAGTTGCTTTTTGACACTCCAATAAACCAAGTTGCCGCCAAGATAAATAGAGTAACCAGAGGTAGAGAGATGAGTATCGGGGTAGCCAGCCCAATCTGCATCTGAGTAAGCAACTAAAGTACCAGGAGCAGTAGATAGGCGATAACTAAGGCTAAAATGCATTGTGCCTTTAACATAGTGAATAATGCGTTTGACAGTAAGAAAGTGGTCTTCAGTTGGGGAATTGAGAAATTGACTGCAAAGTTAATAACATGAGCAATATCTGGAAGGGTGGTGGTAAGATTTTGGAGAGCACCAACAAGAAATCTGTAAAGTATAGGATCCAAGAACAAAGGACCATCATCAGACACGTTCTGGGATACAACCATGGGGGTGTGAATAGGTTTGCTGTCAAGTAGCTGAGCTCGTGTGAAATGTCCCGTGCATATTTCAGTTGACTGATGAAGAGGCCGTTAAAGGTGATCGTAGCTTCAAAACCAAGGAAGTAACTGAGAGGACCCAAATCTTTAGTGGCAAACTCAGAATAAGTTTCCAAGTAAAACTGGCAAGAAGAAATGAGTCGTTGCTTGTAATAATGATGTCATCAAGAGTAGTAGCAGATAGATTATGTCAGAGTGTTTATGAAAAATGAATAATGACGTGTCTGCACAACTGCAATAAAAACCAAGTTGAATGAGAAAAGAGCCGAAGCATTGAAACTAGGCACGAAGAGCTTGTGTTAGATTGTAAATGGCTTTTTACAACTGATAGACATGATTAGGAAAGTGTGAGTCAATGTACCTAGGGGGTTGCTCCATATAAACATGTTCAGTGAGATGGCCATTTAGGAACGCATTTTTACATCAAGTTGACGAAAATGCCATTTGTTGGTCACAACAAGAGAAAGGACAACACGGACTGTGGTAGCCTTGATAACAGGGCTAAAAGTGTCAGTATAGTCAACACGAGGCAACGTGTAGCCCTTGGCATGAGACGGGCTTTGAAACGCTCTATAGATCCATCGGGCAAATATTTGGTCCGAAACACCCATTTGGAACCTACAACGTTGGTGTTGGTGGGTTGAGGAACCAAAATCCAAGTACGATTATTTTGTAGGGCTTGAACTTCTTCATTCATGGCAGCGAGCCAAGCGGGATTCTTAGCAGCAGATTTGAATCCTTTAGGCTCAGTAGATGCAAGAAGAGCAGAAAGAAGGCTAGAGGAACCCACGAGTCCTAGATGCGCCGAGTGGCTCATTTTGAAGATGCCGGCTTTGGCTCGTGTGAGCATAGGATGAGACCTAATGTAGTAACTACAATATAAGTGCGATCAACGACAGCAACTCAATGATAGACTCTGGCTATGTTGCTCGGACTCGAGTGCTAGTGTCGGATATGGGTACATATCCAGGAGTCGGATTCGCTCATTTTAAAAATGAAGATATGGGGATACGGTTAAAAAGGATCCGAATTTTCGATAAGGGTACGGGGACACGTCTTACATTTATTATTATTATTATTATTATTATTTTTGTTTTCTAAAAAATGATTTAATCAAAGCAAACAACTACAATATTAAAGCGAAACAACAAATTACTGAAATACAAATGTTTCATTTAATGATAAAATCCAAATTCAAACAAAACATAATTCAAAATGAAGTTAAACATCCAAAATGTCATAACATAAAAAGCAAGAAGTTTTCCACTTGAAATCAAACTAAACAAGCATTCCCAATCAAATTTGAAGAGGAAGCAAGGCTCGAGAAATTGTTTTCTGGTGCAAATTTGAAGAGGAAGCTAATACGCCCACTTGCAATTCCAAGAGTTCATCCATTAAAAAGAATATAAAACCTGGTGCAAAAACAGTTAAAAAGAAACCAAAACGTCAAAATTAGACACGTAAAGTGGCTGCTTGAATTCTGTACCATTTATTCAATTTTAATTTTGATTCCCAATTTCAATTGTTAACCTTGATTAGTAAGTAAATATTATATAAATAACGTTCTGTTTCCCAATTGTAATGGTTAATAATAGTTAAAAAGAAACTAAAACGTCAAAAATTATTGACGTAAATTAGCGGGTTGAATTTTGTGCCATTTATTCAATTTTAATTTTGATTCCCAATTTCAATTGTTAATCTTGATTAGTAAGTAATTATTATATAAATAATATTTTGTTTTCCAATTTTAATTGTTAATGCTTGGTTAGTAATTAAATATTCTAGAATAATTAACTTATTCATTTGGCCACACAAAAGCCCATTTAACACCCACTAAACCTAACTTATTCATTGGGCTTGACAAAAGCCCATTTCACACCCAACTAAACCTATAGTCTTCTCCGTCTTCTTTCTGCAGAATTTTTGCTGCCAAGCTCATGTTGTCCGTTTTCTTCTCCTTTATTCCCGTAACATCCTCCATTAATTTTTGCAAAATACTACTACAAGACTCGAAATAAATGGGTTTGCTACCGCCGTCCACCGTCTTCTTTGCTGCCGTCCACTGTCTTCTCTGCCGCCGTCCACTGTCTTCTTTGCTGCTGTGTCCGAGTGCACGACCAAGTATTCGACCCATATCCCGTGTCAGTATCTGTGTCATGCCCTGTTGACACGGATACTTCACCATTTTTGGAGAGTCCAAGCAACATAGGACTTTGGGGAAGCCGGTCTGAAGTTCGAGTGTGACGGAGAGAGCTACATGCAAAGAGTTATCTACTAGATCAGTACAAATAATATACGTGGTGGATTCGAATTGAGAAATATGTCTGAAATGTGGTGCAGGAGAAAGCGGGGGCATATCTGTGGGAAGGAGAATTGTTTCAGAAAATTTGAGATTTGGAGGGAGGATATGGGTTGGCTTATGAAGTATGTTGGAAGGAAAAGTGGTTTTCATCAAATTGGGCATGACGGGTGATTTAGAATCTAGAGGTGGTGGGGTCAAGACAACGGAAATCTTTATAAGATAATTATAACCATAAAAATGCTAGGAATGCTACTAGGAGAGAACTTGTTAGTCATGTAATCACGTAAACAAGGATAAACATGATAAGCAAATGGATGAAAATTTTCATAATTGAGAGATGAACCATATAAAAGCTCGAAGGGTGACTTACCTCCAAGAAGTGGTGTGGGCATCCGGTTGATGATGTAAGCTATAGTGCTAAAAGCGTCAATCCAGAAATAAGTGGGAATGTGAGAATGGGAAAGGGGGCCAGACTTGTTTCAGCCACATGATAGTGTTTTCGTTCGACACGACCATTTTGCGTAGGTGTAGAAGGACAAGAGAGTTGATGATGAATATCGGAGGTACTAAGATGTACTTTAAAGCAGTACTAGTGAATTCTGCACCACCATCACTTTGAAAAAAAATTATACGCAAATTTTTGAAATTGAATAAAAGTATTAAAGAAGTCAGATTTCAATTTTAGGGTGTGATTGAGTCACATTATTTTGAAAGAATGTATTTTAGAATAGTAAATTGATGAAAAATGTGTGGTTAAAAAATAAGGAAATTTTTTAAATTTACATGTTATATTATTTTATTGAAAAATGTATGATTGAAAAGAAGAAAGAAAAAAATGTATTTTGAAAAGAAATAAAAATATAAGAAAATATTATTTTATTGGAAGAATGTGTGATTGAAAATGATAAGAACAATGAGAATAAAAATTTTAATGTGGCTCAAACAGGAGTTTAATGGGTAAAGCCAGTGAAATGAGAATAATCGTCGATAAATAAAACATAGTATGCGAAACCCGAATTTGACTTTACAGGAGATGGGCCCCATAGATCGCAATGAATAAGTTCTAATACCTTTGAAGATTGATGTTCATTACGAGAATAGGGCAAATGGTGATTTTTTGCAGTTTGACATGTACTATATAACACAGGGGATTGCAATAAAGAGATAAGATAAAGCCATCCTTTCTTATTCAGAAAAGAGATAAGAGTGATCCACATGTTCAAGGCAGGCATGCCATAAATTGGGTAAATTTGATTAATCTTCATTTCTACATTATCATTCGTAAAATTTTTGTAATTTGTACAATAATCTGTAAAACCCCTTGTCAAGCTTTTGTGTCAGCATTGTTATTTAATTCCATGACAACCTTGAGACATCACTGAATTTCAGTGTCATAGTAAAAACTGATGCTTTTTCTGATGTACCTGATGTATGCAGATAGCCTTCACAACCATTGTCTATCCTTCACTGATCCTTGCATATATGGGTCAAGCTGCTTATCTCTCTCGGCACCATTATATTGAAAATGATTACCGTATTGGATTTTATGTTTCCGTACCTGGTATGCACTCTCAACTGTTGCTCTTAAAAGAACTACTGTCACCATAGATGAAAAATGAGCTAAAATCTTGTAAATTGTAACGTCCACTAGTCTACCGTCGCACACCAAATGCGCCTTAAAATGTGATCAGTAAGAGATTTTTCTATTGACGGAATATATCCATTATTTTGTCAGAGAAATTAAGATGGCCAGTTCTGGTGATTGCTGTACTTGCTGCAGTGGTAGGAAGCCAGGCGATCATTACCGGAACTTTTTCTATCATAAAACAGTGTTCTGCATTGGGATGCTTTCCAAGAGTTAAAATATTGCACACATCGTCAAAAATTCATGGGCAAATTTACATCCCTGAAATCAACTGGATTTTAATGCTCTTATGTCTGGCTGTCACAATCGGTTTCAGAGACACCAAACGTATGGGTAATGCTTCAGGTAAGGCTCGAGTCCAAGAAACGAGTAGGAAAACTAGCTTTAACAAGTGTTAATTTTGTGTTTGTCTTAACTGAAAATGAGGTACTAATTTTCAAACATGTATGCAACTTTTTTTTTTACTTTCAAACAAAAAAGATTACTTACATGGTAGTGTCCAAAAAAGATAACTTACAAAGCTTAATTACTTGTAAGCAAACCTTTTAAGCTTGCCAAACATGCTCTTAGTCTCGTGTCTTTTCTAAACAAACTTATAAAATGCCGAACATCTGTCCTAGAGTTCCTATTTTTGCTTTGGATTCGCTCTTCTTTTTCTTTTTTTCTGCATCTTCTGATGTTGAAAATCTTGGACCAACTAAAAATGATGTTAAGAAATCCAATGCATGTTTATTATCGCTAAAGAGCCTTGTTATGTGCTCTAATTATTCTATAATGACATTTTCTAAGCCCCAAGGTTGTTATTTTTCGTTTCAGGTCTGGCAGTTATCACTGTAATGCTAGTCACCACTTGCTTGATGTCTATAGTTATAGTTTTATGCTGGCACCGGAGTGTCCTCCTCGCAGTTGGTTTCATCCTATTCTTTGGAACAATCGAAGCCCTTTATTTCACGGCTTCTCTAATCAAATTTCTGGAAGGAGCATGGGTACCCATCGCCCTGGCATTTGTTTTCATGATAGTAATGTGTATCTGGCACTACGGGACACTGAAAAAGTACGAGTACGATGTTCAAAATAAGGTATCTGTTGACTGGTTACTTGGCCTCGGTCCGAGTTTGGGCATTGTTCGGGTTCGTGGCATTGGCCTTGTACACACGGAACTCGTATCTGGAATCCCAGCAATTTTCTCCCACTTTGTTGCCACTCTTCCGGCCTTCCACCAGGTTCTCATTTTTCTTTGCGTTAAGTCAGTCCCAATCCCTCATGTTAAACACGAAGAACGGTTTCTTGTCGGACATATTGGTCCAAAAGAGTATCATGTGTACAGATGCATTGTTCGATATGGTTATCGTGATGCTCACAAGGATGATTTACAGTTCGAGAATGATCTCGTATGTAGTATAGCCGAGTACATTCGGACGGGAAGAAGAGGTTTAAGCGAAGAAAATGAAGAATCGACAAAGCAATGTGAGGGAATGCTGGTGGTGGGAACTCCTTCAACTCATCTAGATGGGATTCAAGTGTGTGAGGAGGAAGGGCCAAATCCAGAAGCTGCTGGCACATCCGAGCATAGAGAAATAGAAAAACACTCCCCACCAGTGATGAAGCCTAGGAAAAGGGTAAGATTTGTGATTCCAGAGAGCCCGAAAATAAACAGAGATGCTCGTAAAGAGTTGCGTGAACTGATGGAAGCTCGGGAAGGCGGCATAGCCTACATTTTGGGACACACATATGTGAAAGCAAAGAAAGGCTCAAATCTAGTAAAGAAGATTGTTATAAATTTTGGGTATGATTTTTTGAGGAGGAACTGTAGGGCACCAACCTATGCATTAAGTGTACCTCATGCCTCAACATTAGAAGTGGGAATGGTGTACCATATATGATATGATTACAAAGGAAACTGCAACTATCTGTACATGTCTTTTGCAATTTACATACTATATATATAATGTTATAACATGGACAACAGTAGTATTTTTCTCAGAGATCAGCTATATAAATAATTTTTTTGTTATGTGGATCATTGCTACATTGATTAAATGAAATTTGAATGCGCGTCTGAACACGAAAAGATTAAATTGGAAAAGCATATCAAATAAAGAATTTTTCTAATGTTTGTATACTAAAAGAGCATATCTAAGGGTTTCAAATAATAATAATAATAAAAAGAACATATTTAAGACCATAAAGACTAGGTTTGAAGTTAAAACAAAACACATAATGACTGAAAATCGGCATGAGAAAATTAGATAGTACTCGACTATATGTATCGGTGTTTGTCAAAATTTATCATTGCTTGTATAGAATCCACAACTTCTACTCACTTTTTAAGTACACGTCATCTGAAACCTGGACTTTATGAGTAATTTTAAGCGTTGATATGAATCATTTGACAAAGCTTTTGATGTGTGGAAAATTCCACATTTGAAGAAATAGCGGGCCGACTTGGGTTTGGATAAGGACTGAGTCCAATCCTCATGCCCGGACCTTCATTGAATGAAGTTCATTGTTAGCATGCCATGCCACGTTATTATTTGGAGTTTGATTTTAGAATATTTACTTTGTTAAAAAGAGTAATTCAAGTATTTATATATTGGTTACATTTGTTACTTTAAGCAATGTGATATTACCGTTGTTAATATGTTAATGCAAGATGTTGGGTTGTTTGAGTATATCTGCAAGATGGGACAAATCTTGTAATCCAAATTCTCATTTGAGGTTTAGGCCGAACTAATGGATAGTTAAAATTCTTGAACTCTAATACTATATTTATATTTTTTTAAGGTTGGGAAAAATACGTAAGAATACAATTTCACATTTGCCAAACTTGTTAAAATTTTTCCAAGATCAAGTGTTAAATCATTATAAATATAATACTGATATATGTTTTTTTCTTTCTATATATTCCTTTTAATTATCATTTATCTTTCTAATTCTCCACTCTGATGGACCTTTCAAAATGAGAAAGTAATATCAAACGAGAACTGGCCCAAAAACTAAGTTAAAAATATATATTAATTTTAATTAAATCTTATTAACACCCGATTTTTAAAATGTAAAGTTTCACATCTTATTTTTGAAATGTAAAATTTAAGGGTATGAATTTGCTAAATGTTCGGTTTTGGTTTAAAAGATCAATCTTATTAAAAGTACTTTAAAGTTGTATATATCAGTTAGTATCCATAACTTAACTAATGTGAGATTTTACCTTTTAACACATGACAATCTCGTGTTGCCAACCGACATTTTAATGACATGGCGCATTATCTTGAGTTTTGGAGTTCTATTTTAAAAAATTAGAGCCTTTTTGAGCTCCATTATTTTGTCGAAATGTATTTTGGAATATTGATTTGATGGAAAACGTATGGTTAAAAAATATAAAAATATATTTGGAAAATAATGGGGACCAAAAATAGCTTAATGTTGTTAAAGGAATAGCTCGAATACTTATTTGTTAGGTTATTTTATTATTATTTTTACATATAACCACCGTGGAATTCTACACTTAGTATATTCATTAGGGTTGGGCAAAATGTTCGAATCGAACCGAACTGAATCGAGCAATTTTTCTTAAATGAAATACCCGAACGGGTATCCGAATCGAGAACCTAATGGTTTGGTTATTTTAAGGTTGGGAAAAATACGTAACTACAATACATTAAGAATACAATTTCACATTTGCCAAACTTGTTAAAATTTTTCCAAGATCAAGTGTTAAATCATTATAAATATAATACTGATATATGTTTTTTTCTTTCTATATATTCATTTTAATTATCATTTATCTTTCTAATTCTCCACTCTGATGGACCTTTCAAAATGAGAAAGTAATATCAAACGAGAACTGGCCCAAAAACTAAGTTAAAAAAATATATTAATTTTAATTAAATCTTATTAACACCCGATTTTTAAAATGTAAAGTTTCACATCTTATTTTTGAAATGTAAAATTTAAGGGTATGAATTTGCTAAATGTTCGGTTTTGGTTTAAAAGACCAATCTTATTAAAAGTACTTTAAAGTTATATATAACAGTTAGTATCTATAACTTAACTAATGTGAGATTTTACCTTTAACACATGGCAATCTCGTGTTGCCAACCTGACATTTGAATGACATGACGCATTATGTTGAGTTCTGGAGTTCGATTTTAAAAAATTAGAGCCTTTTTGAGCTCCATTATTTTGTCGAAATGTATTTTGGACTACTGATTTGATGGAAAATGTATGGTTAAAAAATATAAAAATATATTTGAAAAATAATGGGGACCAAAAATGGCTTAATGTTGTTAAAGGAATAGCTCGAATACTTATTTGTTAGATTATTTTATTATTATTTTCACATGTAACCACCGTGGAATTCAACCCTTAGTATATTCATTAGGGCTGGGCAAAATGTCTGAATCAAACCGAACCGAACCGAGCGATTTTTCTTAAAATAAATACCCGAACGGGTATCCGAATTGAGAAATTTTTTTTATATTGGATAAATTAATTTCTTTAATTTTTTTCTAAACAAATTAATAAATTTTTTCCTTATTAAATCTTATTGGTTGAACAATTTAGGATTTATTTATGTTT